TGGAGAGCCGGGACTTGCATAATTTTGTAGAGTAACGTCCGGACTATCTACGCATGCAAAAAAATTACTAACATTGTATGTTAGTTTTCTGAGAACGGAGCTGGTTTTCCAAAGATCCTCTAGAAACCCGATCTCTGGAATTTTTTCAAAAGTTGCTTCTGCTTGTAGAAAGTTCTGCTCAAGTCTTGGCTATTGAACAGCGAAAATCGCAGATCTCTATCTCATTCCTATCAAAAGTTATTCAAAAAGTGGCTGACTGTCTTGTATTTTGGAACGCATAATAGTTTTCTGATAAATTTTGAAAAGCAAGGATTTGTATTTTTATCATATTTTCTAAACGAAAGATCGTATCGACTGCAGATACATTTCAAAATCTTCATCATACTTTTTACTCCATTCTGGGCCTCTCGCTGTTCGAATCAAAGATCGGCACAGGCCGATCTCTTACTGGCCTGACCAAAAGCCCGGTCCGTGTCAATATTTTACACGGCACAAAAGTAAAGAAAGTATCCTTCTCGTTCTAATGATTTCAGTTTTCATAGTTTTTTCGTCATCGTTTTGATCAGACCCTGAGAATCAAAGAAAAAAGAGAAAAATGTTGAAATTCGAAGTAACCAATAGTCGACCAAATATTTTCAAGCATATTCTAACTTTCATAATGTAAACAGCAAGCTCATACTTTTTGTTGTTCAAGGAAACCTTCTTTTCGCTCACGATCAATAAGACAAAATTTTGTCACTTAGAATAACACACCGTTCATTTAGTACATCATTCTATTTTGCTCCCATACTCAAAAACTATTAGTAAAAACTGTCAGCTAAGTGAATTTTTGCCTTTCATTCATTGGATTGATTACCAATAATAGGTCTTAAAATAGCTTGAATTTAACTGCGTTTATATATAAACAACCCACGCAAAGCTGAGAAAATTAGTTCAGTAACACTGGTAAAGAAAAAATCTGTCACAGTGAGTAAAATCGTAAAAAAAGTGAGACTGGCTGACAGCAAGATTGATATTTTGAATATATAATGAGTTTCTTGCTGTTCAAAAGTATCAGCCAATGTTGGCTATTTGAATATGGTTCTATTATAGCTTTGGAATGTTCCATACAAAATTTTACGTCATGTATAATGATTTTGTGCGTTTATCTAGTTTCATTATAAGTTTTCTTTGGGATGATCGAATAATATTTTTTAATACATCCTCGTCTTTTTTCGTTGTTGGTGCATTCACTTCCCATACTTTATCGTATCCTTGATCAATTTTTTGATTGTAACTGTTAAAACTACTATCCGTGTTTATATTACCAACAGATTGATGTAAATCAACGTTATTTCGTTCATCATCTATTGTTCGATTATTGCCGACTACGCTCATATCATCACTTTGTGTAGAGTGTGCTGGTGAGGGATGATTATCGATTGTTGCACGACGTTGTTCATTCGATTGTAACTTTTTCCGCCAAACAAGACTATTATCTCGTTGTAACCGAACTTGATTCGATAGTGTAGGCCCTAAACGTCTTCTCATAGCTGATGGTCCTTGAGCTGAAGCTTCGCTTGAGACTGTGGGTAACGGATCTGTAACATCTTTCAATAGATGATAACAAGCCATTTGATTGAAGACTTTAGCAAAATCCAGAGCACGATAACCTTTAAAATCAATTTTATCTGTTTTAGCACCTTTATTGAGCAAAAGCCTCACCGTTTCCACTAGACCATTTCTTGCACCTAACATCAAAGGTGTACGCTGATGATGATTTTCTGCATTAATATCACACCCTAATTCCAACAAACGTTTTAATATGTATAAGCTTTCATTACTTTTAATGTAACAAAACCAATGTAAAAGAGTATTATCACCCTCGGTCAAAACATCTTTCATTTGAGCACCGCAATTATCGAACAGATCGAACATCTTTTCATCACCATTTGTTACTGCAATATGTATCGGTCGAATTTTTGATTTTCGTTCAGCATAATTAATATTTGCACCGCTTTCACAAAGTAATTTAGCTATAGTTAGATTTTGTTTTTTAACAGCAATCATTAATGGTGTCTCTTTTCCCAAATAAATACTTCCTTTTTCATCCATATAATTATCAAATGTTGGCTTATCAACATATGCGCCAGCTTCAATCAATGATTGTGCTATTTCATACGCACGTTTTTCTTCTGCAGAATTTGGTTCACATTTTAATTGTGCCAAATAACTTAAAGGTGTCTCATAGGTTATCGAATTTGCTTTATCGGGATGTGCACCTTGTGAGAGGAGAAGACGAACGGTGATCGGTGATGAATACATTACAGCAAGTAGAAGACCCGAATTACCAGTTGAATCAACATCTTTAAAGAGATGATCACGTTCAACATCCAATATACGACATATTTTATCAGTATCATCTTTTAAAATTGCTGAACGAAAAGCAGATAAATTTGTTTTGAACAAATAGGACATCATTATTTGGGCCATTATGACTAGTGTTTTTGATCCTACAACTAAAAAGCTAAAACTAAAAATTATTTTCATAGAATAGTGATGAGTATATGTCATAGGCAGACCGAAATGGGACCAATGTTTTATAGTCGCTAGTCCGAAAAAATTTTGCCACGAAAACACGAAAAAGATGCACACAATAAAGATATGAACAGAGTCAGATGGATGATATTATATAGAAACTTGTTTGATTTGAATAAAACGCGTTGTGCTTTTTGAGATTTTGGTAATTTAATAGAATTTGCATGAAACAGTGAACAAACTACATAGAAAGATCAATATCTAGGAAAAACTATCTAAAAGTTCTATTGAAGTATCGAAAAAAGCTAAATTTTGCGCTATTTTTACAGAATCATCTTAGTTCTGATCAAAAGGTTTTTTAGTTCCGGTCAGGCTTACATCGTAAGAGATCAGCACAACTTTTTAGAAAAGAAAAATAAATATCAAGGAAAAGTATTGACTCTAAGCTTTGCCAGATCTGACGATATTGTATATTAGTCTCAGTGGAAAAAACTAATAATATGGCTGAGATGATCGAAAAAATATGTCATATTTTGACCAAAAAAACTCAATTATACTTGATGAATATTGAAGCATCGTATAGAATTGATAGGTTTCATACAATTATTAGCGATTAGGCATGCCCCAATCCCAAGCTAAGGCTTAGTGCTAGACACCAAGCAGCTCATTATCAAGCCGACTTGGTCACCTAGCAGCTCGTTACCAAGCCGGCTCGGCTACCAAGCAAAAATAATAATAGATAAGTCTCGAAGAATAATACGAACAAACGTGTGCGTTAATTGATTGCGAAATTAATTATTCTTTTTCAAGGAAAAGTTAAATGTCTGATAACGCACATCATTTTTTAGGGAAATTATACAGCTTTTGCATGATTGATTAAAAGAAATTCTTATATGTATATTCTATTGAGTATTGTGAAATAGGCCATGATTTCCAGAATTTTTCTTGCATATATGTTTCAGCACATTTATTAAAAGTGCACCTAAAACGGAATACTTCAAACAATCTACCACTGGGTAGTATTCGAATAGTATAACAACAAGAAAACAAATCAACATCTCGGATAAAAAAACAGGTTTTCTTACCAAGTACTAAAGGTTAAACTAAACTGTTCGAGCTGCTTGGTGACCGAGCCGGCTTGGTGACCGAGTTACCGGATTGGTGCATGCCTATCAGCGATTTAAACAATTGGATTCAATATTCTTTTTTAGACTTATTATTGTTTTTCTCTTATCCCTAGAAAATTATTAAAATTCGCTACAAACTTGTATATCAGTAATATTAGCTAACTTTCGTATCTGTACAGTTTATTAGAAAACCATAACACGTGACAAGTTAATAATAATAATTTCAAATAAAAAAGAACGCTAACAGGCATACAGAAGGCTATTGTAATAAAAATAATGAATTTACTTTATATTGGTGAATGAAGAAGAGTAATGCTGTATCTCAACGAACACGGGAGTCCAGTGCAAAATTTCGATGTTGCTTTTTTCTTTCTGTGCACGCGCTCACGTATTTTGTAATGCAGTACATCATCACTAAAAGTAAATTTATCGATGTTTTTCTATAATAATCAAATATTTATATCGTGTATTACTAAAAATGATTCGACACAGGTGTTTTACATGCTTCAATTAACAGAAAATGAAAAAAGATAATAAATTAATGAATAACTGTTTCTATTATTAGTTAACAGTAATTAAAATTTAATGTTTTTTATTTTACTTTCAAAACATATGATAGTGAAGTTCGCATATACAGATGATCGTTATACAATCATGCTACGCCATGATCAGAAAAGAGCATTAGCTTGCGTTCTATAGTTGTTCTAATAAGGTAGCAGATTTCCAGAAATATTATAGCTGTTTTAAATCGTATTTTCTATCAATAGGTGAATTTATTTTAAAAGCAAACAGCAAGTCGTTACTAGCTCGCTTTGTTTTAATAACTATAATTGTTATTTTTCAATTTTTGACCTTCGCTTATGATACCTTTAGCAATTTTTGCAACAGCATCACGCAAATTTCGCGGTTATTATTTACAATAACGTTTTCAACCAATTTCATTCTGAATACAAAATTACTCAATAATTGATATATTAGTAGTTGTGGTCTTTCTTTTCTTAGTTGACTTTTGTTTCTTCTATGCACCATCTATTCAATTATTTCAGACTTAATAACAAAATATAAATCAAGAAAATTTCTAATACAAGAACAAAAATTTGCTGGAAATCCGAGTTGTAGTAGTGACCACAAAGGTAAATTTTGTTTGTAGTACTCTAGTTGAAAAAAGCACACAGAAAAACTAAGAAAGTCATCATATCTCATCTTAACACATTAACTGCCGTATACGTCGAATGACGTATTCACGTCATATATTTCAGCATATGTGGCAGTGAATGTGTTGATATAGTTTCGTTCGAAAATTATGTGCACTTAACTATTTGGTCATCACCAGAGATTACTAGAAATATCATTTTTTCCACTAAGATAGATATTCGCCCAATATCTGACAACGGCTTGACCGTTAGGATCCATTGATATCTTATCGGAAAAAAAATTTTCTTCACAAAATTACTACGAAAAGGTGAAATTAAAGCAAGCAACCTGGATGATCACAATGCAAAAGACTAAAAAAAAAATCACTTTTGATTAGAACAGATAATGAGACACTTTGTATATACTTAAATTTATTTTTTCTTAAAACTAATTGATTCTCTCAAGAATTTCAGTTTTATGCGTCTAACGTATTATAACATACTTAACCGTTTCAAACAAAACATGCTCAGAGACTTACGATTTATTTTTATTTTATTTTATTAGAATTCAATTCTTTATTCTTTAAACAATATATATAATTTCAAGATATCACCTGCACGAAATTTTATAGATTATATACTGTA